TCAACTCACTCAACCAAGACGGTTGAGCAAGAAACATCTAAACTTATGATGCTGACATCTTATTCTCTCGAGTTTATTGGCGAAGATAAGTTTAAACTATCTTTTAAATATTCAGATGATTGCAAACACGAATTTTATCTTAGACCCTTACAAAGAAGAGTTCAAAACTAGAAATCTTAAAGATACCAAAAAAAAAGATATCAAATTGCTTGCTTTTATTTCGAACTTGTTTGTTCGATTCAGCAGGAAAAAATTTACATTGTGAAGCGTCATCGTGCCCTTTATTTCAGAAAGTTAATTATGTTGACTTTATCTCTAAAATCAGCAAAATTTTCTGGAAAAGTTATAATGTATTACATCGTATTTTTTCCTCATTATACAAAGAATTAACCAATTTAAAAAACATGTCGACTGACACGTAAGTATTATCTTTTTTTGGTTAAAATTTGCAAGAATTGAATTTCAATTAAATTTTATTAGTTGTGTTAAAAAAAGAAACCAAAGGGTCACGCACCATCGCGATCAGTACGCGAGACAAGGTTTTGACACGCGAGTCTTAGTTTTTTTTTTTGATTAAATTATGCAATAAATGAATTTCAATTAATTTATTTATCGTCATTGATTTTGTGTTAAAATCACGCAGCATCATCATCCGTACGCTAGACAAGCTGCTGTCACGTAAGTCCTACTTTTTTTCAATACATTGTTTTTCAATTAAACTTTAGTGATTTTTTGTTAAAAAAAGAAACCAAACGATCCTGCGGCATCAAAGTTATGATACCTACCATCAGCAGCAGCACGCTAGACAAGATCCTGTCACGTGACTCGACTGTTTTCTGGTTAAGATTATATAATAAATTAAATTTTAATTAAATTTTATTGATTTTGTATTGAAAAAAAGAAAACAAAAGATCGCGCGGCATTGGAGTTATGATCCCTACCATTATTATCCATCCGAATCAATATCGGTTTCCTCGTGTCTTCCACTCCATTCTATGTGGCTTCCGGAAAATCCGAAATCTTTAACAGTGGATCGATCTGGTTTATCATTCATGTCGGAAACTTCAAACTTTCCATATTTTGGATTAGTACCTTCTACACTTTGTGCTAATCCAATTATCCAGTCGCCAGTAACAACTTCGGACCCGAGCGTGGATTATAGTCCCTCACAAACAGAGGATTTTCCAAATTCAATTATTCAATCGCCGATAACAACTTCGGATCCAAGCGTGGAGCATAGTCTTTTACAAACAGAGGATTTAACATGGAATTGTAATATTAGCAATCATCAACATTCGGAAACATACTCAAATTTCCCATCGTTTGGATCCGTATATTCTACGGAGTCAAGTCCATCTCATGCTAATCAATTATTCAGTCGCCGGTAACAACCTCAGACCCGAGCGTAGATTCCTGTCTTTCACAAACAGAGAATTTTCCAAATTCAATTATTCAGTCGCCGGTAACAACCTCAGACTTGAGCGTATATTCTGGTAATTCTGACAATCATAATTTAGCGTTTGTTTCATCGTTGGATTCGCGAAGACAAACCAATCTCATGCAAATGG